ACTGAAGCTGGAGGAATGGTTTATTCAGAACACCTGAGAACTGTTTTATTTGACAGGTACATTCAGGATTCAGCATTCATTTATTGTCATATGCAGGTTAACAAGAGTCAACAATGCAATGAAATTCTACGGATGAGAAGAAATCCTTCGACTCGCTACGAAGAATAAAAATAAAGACAATACAGAACGCAAAACTCAGTTTGCAGTAGATGCACAAAGAGTAAGTAAACAAAAATTTAGGGTAATATATACAGTGTGTAATGGAACTAATACTTTTATGTTTAAGCAAGTAATTCATGACATCCTTTAATGAACTAGGTTTTCATGACATGCTGTTCATCTGCAGATAGAATGATTAAAGTCAGAACAAGATCTACTAACAACAGTCATTCTTAGATATCACTTGTGTTTATCTTTGTGTTTTCCGTTGACCTTGTATCAAACCTTGCTAAGATGACAGAATGGTGTTTGTTAATATATATATGAGGCCTCTCGAGTGGAGTGTTCAACTGTAGTGTGGAGAGACAGTGACAGAGAGAAGCAGAGGTACAGAGACAGGCCAGGTTGTTCTCTGTGTTTCCTGCTGTTGCATAAAACTCAGCTGATCATCTCACGGAGTACCTTCATTCTTGGACCGCGTATTTCTGTCTTTGTTAAATAAATATTGCCGTAACACAGTGTAAAGTCAAAATGTTGAACAGCAAATAATAACTAAATAGCAAAGAAAACAACAACAAAATTTGGGTAACAGAAATAACAGAAAGGTGCAGGCAGGGTGCACAACATTTATACATATGGTATTTCACAGTTAATGATATACCGGTATATAGCGAATAGTTATGATATACATGCATTCTAGATTATGTGTATTGCACATAGCATGTATTGTGCCGTTTGTGTAGCAGGTTATTGCACAGTTAAGAGTAACATGAGTCAGTCCCACTGAGCAGCAGCAATGGACTTATTTAGTGTCTCAGAYGTGGGTTGGTACAGTCTTATTGTTGGGAGTTCAGTAATCCGACAGCTTGTGGGTAGTAACTGTCTCTGAGTCGTTTTGTATGTGCTGGCAGGCTCCTGTACTTGCTGCCAGTGGGTAGCAGACAAAAAAGTCTCTGCGCAGGGTGGGTGCGGTCTTTAATGATGCTGTGTGTTTTACGCAGGTACTGGCTGTGGTAAGTGTTCTGGATGGTGGGGAGACTGTTACCGGTGATGTCCTCAGCAGTTCGCACTACCTGCTGTGGTGCTTTCTGGCTTTGACTGGTGCAGTTCCCGTACCACACTGTGATGCTGCTCGTCAGCAGGCTCTCAATAGTGCACCTGTAGAAGTTTGTGAGGATGTTGGTTTTCACATCMAACTTGCTCTATTTCCTTAGGAAGTAGAGTCTTTGTCTGGCTTTGTTGATCACAGTGTCTGCATGTAATGTCCAGGTTAAATCCTCAGTGATGTGAATGCCAAGGAACTTAAAGCTGCTGACCTGCTCCACCTCAGAGTTGTTTATATAGATGGGGGAATGCTGGCCTCCTCGCTGTCTCCTGAAGTCCACCACCATCTCCTTAGTTTTGCTGACATTCAGTGAGAGGTTATTTTCCTGACACCAGCTGGTCAGTGATTCCACCGCACCTCTGTAGACGTGCTCGTGGTTGTCAGTGATGAGGCCCAAGATGGTGGTGTCGTCAGCAAACTTGAAGATGACGTTTGAGCTGTGCCTGGCGGCACAGTCATGTGTGAAAAGGGAGTACAGCAGTGGACTGAGGACACATCCCTGAGGTGTACCGGTGCTGAGGACCAGTGTAGAAGAGAGGTGGCTGCTGATTCTCACTGCCTGTGGTCTGTTGGTGAGGAAGTCCAATATCCAGCAGCAGATGGATTTCTCCAGACCCAGAGCTGTGAGTTTGGAGACCAGTTTGGAGGGGATTATGGTGTTGAACACTGAGGTGTAGTCAATGAAGAGCATTCTCACATAGGWGTTTTTCTTCTCCAAATGGCTGAGGGAGGTATGAATTGCTAGAGCCATAGTGTCGTCTGTGGACCTGTTTGTTCYGTATGCAAACTGTAGGGGGTCCAGGGTGTCAGGGAGGGAGGCACAGATGTGAGTCTTGATGATTTGCTCAAAGCACTTCATGATGACAGATGTGAGTGCAATGGGCCTAAAGTCATTTGGACAGGATGCTGCGGTGGTCTTTGGTATGAGGACAACAGTGGAGGTCTTGAAGATGGTGGGTACAATAGACTGGTTCAGAGACAGGTTAAAGATGTTAGCGAACACCTCGGCAAGTTGGTTAGCGCATGCTTTTAGAGCTCGTCCTGGGATGCCATCGGGTCCTGGTACCTTGTGGGGGTTTACTCTCTTGAACGCCTGTCTGACTGTAGCAGTGTCAATGTGGAGTGTTGTGTCCTTAGTGTCCACTTGTGGCCTGGTGATGGGTGTGGTGTTGTCTGCATCAAACCGAGCATAGAATGGGTTGAGCTCATCCAGGACTGATGCGCTGGACAGCTCAACAGGCCTATTTTTACCCTTGTAGTCTGTGATACAGCGTAATCCATGCCACATGTGCTTCGGGTCATTACTTCCTTGTGCAGACTCCACACTGTCCTTGTATTCCCTTTGAGATGTCTTTCTGAGGTCATACTTGGCTGCTTCAGCCAAGGCTT